CAGTGATTCTTTACACACATAGAAGGAATACACCAAAATTGTTTTGGAACTACAAAATAATCATAACAGCTAACACAATTGAATTAAGAGAACAAAACTGGAAACAGTGCAATACCTGATTTCAAAACCTAAAAAACAAAGCTGTGGTGACTACAACAGCAATTTCTGAAAGCAAACCCAGTGGCCAGTGGCCCAGAAATAAATACAAGAGAAACAGTTTGTGTGAAACCCCGGTCTGGCTGACCCCAGTGGTGTGGCAGTCTCCACTTTCACCCAAATTCCAGCAGGTGTCCTGAGCAAGCTCCTCTAGAACCTGCCTGGCACTTGAGTGCTGTGTGCCTGGCAGTACTTGGAGCTGGACTGTTCGCTGCAGCCCTTCTGTAAAGTAGTTTCAATGAGAAGTTGAGAACACACAAGGCATCCAGAGAATAAGATGATAGGTTGTCCTGTAAGCTGTAAGGTAAGGTGTCATTCATTCTTTATGAATGCTTAGCATAAGAGCAGAGTATATTTGCTGCTTAATCTCTCTGATATTCATGGAGTATCTGGTCATGTGTGAGTATAGCACACTGAACACAGCAGACATATCCTTCCCAAGTTCTTATAGACTTTATGCTCCAGGGGAGAGGGAACAAGAGGAGACAGATAATTACATCAACTTTACTGATGCATGGGCAGTGCGGTCAGCAGTTTCTCCAAGCTCCCCTCTAATAGAGGATTTTACAAATACAATCACACAGATGGCTGCTTAGGGTTTAAATATAGAAATTTATTGGAGGGGAGCACAAACATTAAGGTGAAATGTGTGTGTGTGTGTGTGTGTGTGTGTGTGTGTATGTGTATAAGATTTTGTTTCTAAGGTTTACTATATTATTGGAGTCTTGCTTTTCTTTTTCCATTATTTCTTTCTTTATTATATGGCACACAATTGTCCTGCAAGTTTTCTTATGTAAAAAACATCATAATTTATGGATTAAATTTTTCCTAATTTTTTGTTTGCTACCATAAACAACGTTGCTATGAACGTTCTTATCTGTCTCCAGCTATAGATGTGCAAGGTACAAATCTCATTTGTATCTCATACTGGAATGCAGGTCTATAGCAATGCCTACTTTCAGTAGTGAATCATGTACTCTATTGTTTCTGTATTAAGAAGTGATTAATGCTTCTGTGTGATAGACATCTTTGCCCTCAAACAGCATCCTGAAAAATAATTTTTCTGATCTCCTCATATGCAGCGATACCTTACTGAGGTTGTACATCTTTCCCAGATTAGATTGAGGTTGACCAACTTTGAATATGGTCATTAATTCATTTGAAGTTATTTACTCTGAACCTCTTAGTCTGATTTGCCTATTTTTCAACTTTGTTGTGACTTTCTTATGTCTGCTTCACCAAGTTACTGGTTTCCCAAGGGAACTGCAGGAAATGAAGCAATTATATTAGGTTCATGTCTAATTTGGAGCTAGGGAGAAGGGTTTGCCCCTGAGTCTTCTCCATGTTTTGTTAAGTTAGAAATCACAAAGATGTCTCAGGAGCTGTGAACAAATGTGTACCCATGTATCTGCCTTCTTTCTTCTGAATTGATAACTTCTGTGTCACAGAACTTTTAGCTGCTTAAAGACATCACATATTTTCTTACACTCTTCTTTGTAGCAGAAGGTATGCATGCTCATCATCTAAGGGGCCTCGTCAGAACAGGTTAACATTGACATTCAGTGGTGCGATTTCTGTGTTTCTTCGTGTGTGTGTGTGTGTGTGTGTGTGTGTGTGTGTGTGTGTGTATGTGTGTATGTGCGCGTGTGCACACACTTTGCTGTGCTACTGATCCTTAGGTTCAATCCTTCCCTACAAAATATGTCTGACAGCCTCATGGACAATAATTTATCTTGAACGGAGTATCTATCAAATTTTAAGACAGTAGGGCAAAACGAAATGTCAAGGAAGAATAACCTAATTCAAATTGAACATCTACTGACTTTTGAGAGGAAGTAGAAAAAAATACCTCATTTTCCTTGTATTTAATCCTCATTAAGTCTATTAGGTGTTGTTCCAAATTTTATCTCAAATTTCTGTTGCCACAAACCAGGTAAAAACAGGTTTTATTTTGTACCTAGATTTGTGTGGTAACCACCTAGATTCCTTCTCATACTCCAGTTTTGTTATAATCTGATCACTGCCTAGTAGCCAGGAAGCCCTTTGAAATAGTTAGTAACCTCCGTAACCTTTTTGTGGGTCTACTGTTACTTTATGAATAGATTGAAACTTCCTATAATAGCAGAAAAAGCCTTGTACACACTAGGTCCTTGAATATTCTCTAAGCCCATATATTACCCAAACTGGACATGGTCTGGAATTGTCTCTCTCCTTCACATGTCCTAATCCTGGTCTCTCCAAACAATTCAATAGAGTGAATTTTTTTAGACTCTTCACATATTATAAGATAGGTTCTTCTATTAAGAATTTCTTTTAAAAATTTTATGAGAATAGTCTTCCTCCTCACCTTAGCATCTTATAATTTGATAATCTATCAAATCCATGAAAGCACATTCCTTCAAATCCACCTTTAAGAATTTATCAAATGTGTATGATAGCATTATATATGTGTGTGAAAAAGATGCAAGAACAGTATTTAGAAAAAACCTACATGTCCTATAGGCCTCTAACTACCATTTTCATTATTGTAACCAGGTTATTACTAACATGGTACTAAGTAACATGAATGAATATAACATTAATCTTGAGAAATGACATTACATTAACAGCATTTTTAATGTAGTAGGCTGAAAAAGTATGCATTTTAGAAATAATTTTGATGAAACTAAGATCAGTACTTTAATGTAAACTTTATTTAACTCTTAAAAATGAGTGATGATTAAATAATGAGACACCTCGACAGCTCTAAAAGAGACATTTGAATTTAACAAATCTGAATAGAGAATATTGACTCTATTTTTAGTAAATAGAATTTCATATTCTTGTGTGGCTGCTCACATCAAAAGACTAACCAACCTGAAGGAGGAAAGATAGGATTGGATACATGAAAGAAATATTAGAACCTGGCCAGTGCAAAGTCGTGAGTTCATTTCCCGGTACCAGAAACCACCCTACCCCACCCCAAAAAAGAAAAGAAAAGAAATATTAGGAATGTGACAAAAATGTCAGTTAAAAATTATTGGCATAAAAGCTATGTTAGGAACCCAAAATTGCAAAAGTTATTTGTTTATGTTAGCCTTACACAACTTCTTCAGCAGGTCCAGGATTTGACTACAAAGAGATATTTCCTTCTCTTCTTAGGACTTGAATAAGAAAACTTGGTTTTAGTTGAGGAAATACAAAAAGCGAATTTGGAAGAAAACCAGACATCTCCACACTCCATGAAAATTTCTTTAATAGGTGATGGAAGACTGATGGAAATCTTCTTGATGAAAGAACTGTTGGAGGTATACAAGGTATATTATTAGATATGTTATGTTATTGGCATAGACTCATACTCTTAATGCCTTTGCTTTGACCGTCTAGGTATATTTCCTCCAACTGCCCAGGTCTTGACACCTTGCAGATCCAACCCATTTCATTGGATTCTTACATTGATCTAAACCCTGGAAATGAAGCATTAGCCAGTTCTGTTTCAAAGCCATGGAGAAGGTTAAGAGAAATCAACAAACCATTAAAGATCATCTACTACTTTTTCTATTAGTTGGTTATTGGCCTGACCTTGCCTAGACTCAATGTCAGATTTCCGTTACAAACACCAACATTCCTCAAGTAGGAACTTGGTCTGATCTGATAATCAGTCTGACGTTTCGTGGTTTCTCAAAAAAGAGAAAAGGATTAGATGAGTCCTCTGTCCAAACCATCACTAGCTGATTCGTGATGTAAAAATTCTTGTAAGATCCAAGTTAAAATGTTCAAAGCCATATGTTTATTATGCAATAGTCACAATGACTTCTCTTACACATGTCTATTTTTTTTGCTTCCAGCAAGAGAGTAGAAGAAGAGCATGAGGTGGGATAATCACAGCAGTGCATCTGAATTCATCCTCCTGGGGTTCCCCATCTGGCTGGAAGAACAAGGAGTGTATTACACCCTGTTCCTGCTCATGTACCTGACCACAGTGCTGGGGAACCTGCTCATCATCCTGCTCATCAGGCTCGACTCTCGCCTCCACAGCCCCATGTACTTCTTCCTCAGCCACTTGGCTCTCACTGACATCTCTTTCTCATCAGTCACAGCTCCAAAGATGCTCATGAATAAGCTGACGCATAATAAATCCATCTCTTATGCTGGGTGCATTTCTCAGGTATATTTTTTCTTGTTGTTTGGTGATCTTGACAGTTTCCTCCTTACCTCAATGGCCTATGACAGGTATGTGGCCATCTGCCATCCTCTGCATTATACCACAATCATGAGTCAGAACCTCTGTTATCTGCTGGTAATTGTGTCCTGGGTCTTGTCCTCTGCTAGTGCCCTGGTGCACACCCTTCTCCTAGCCCATCTGTCTTTCTGTGGTGACAACAATCTGCCACATTTCTTCTGTGATCTCTCTGCCTTGCTGAAACTGTCCAGCTCAGATACCACCATCAATGAGTTGGTCATCCTCACTGTAGGAGTGGTAGTCATTACTCTTCCATTCATATGCATTCTAGTGTCTTATGGCCACATTGGGGCCACCATCCTGAGAGCTCCTTCCGTGAAGGGAATCTGCAAAGCCTTCTCCACATGTGGCTCTCACCTGTCTGTGGTTACTCTCTACTATGGAGCAATTATTGGGCTCTACTTTTTCCCCTCATCCAATAACACTAATGACAAGGATGTCATTGTGGCGGTGTTGTACACTCTGGTCACACCCATGCTGAACCCCTTTATCTACAGTCTAAGAAATCAGGATATGAAAGGAGCTCTTGGAAATATCCTCAGTAAAAGAATATTTTCAGTGTGATGGACATTATTTCTTATGAAGTGGATACAAAGAATTCTGTCCTTCCTATGCATTCCCTTTCCTCTCTGCACTACTATTTTTGAGAACTTAATATGCCTCTTGTTTTTTGGCCTGTGTTTCACCTTGGATGTAAATTTGTCTTCATTAAATCATGCTGCTGGTCTGAAGAACCTTGGGAAAGGTTTTTTTAAACCGGATGCATATCTTTACTTTTTATATGGTACTTTTTTCCTACAAATATTTTTAATTTTTCTAGTCCTTTTCTCAAGACAGCAAAAACGTTTCTTCTTGTCATTTTTTTCCTACTGTATGTTTAAATTTGTAATATGTGATAAACCTTAATAAGAATGCTAATTTTGCTCTTTTGTTATTCCTTTTTAGTTATCATTTTATTTATACATAAAATTTTAAAATATTTGTGGGCACCATGTCACATTTCTATAGATGTATAGAATGCATCATGTTCAAATCAGGAAAGTACATCTATTTCTTCAAATATTTGTCATATGTGTGTGTAGTGAAAACTTTCTAAATCTTTTCTTCTATTATTTTGCATTATATAGCATATTATCATTATCTAGAATGACCTTATTTTGAAATACAATACCAGAAATTATTTCTCCTATTTAGCTATAACTTACTATTTGTTGACTAATCTTTCCCCATCCATCTCCTATCTATTCCCCTCACTGGTTGCAATTTTTTATACATGATCCATTTTTTCTTTATTTGTGTTACAGTGATGGGAACTGGACACACAATTTGTTTTTCTCTAAGTGAAAGGGCCTTCTCATGTATGGGAATGAAATGGCTTTCTCTAAAAGGTCAGGAAAAAAGGTCTGGACAGAATGGAGACAGATCCAAAATGTTGAACAGAAACTTGATTAAAGTCCTTGAGGTTCTTGGTCATCTTGTTTTAGGCATAACAGTGAGTGTTGAGATTTTTAATGACCATTCACCTGGTGCTTTGATTATAGGGGATGAGTCCATTCTAATAACAGGGCTTAACTTCTTTGAGTGGGGGCTGAAGAATGGCCAGCAGGATGTCAGGAATCTAGGCAACCCGAACTGAGTTCAGGCAGGACTTTAGTATAGTTTAATGCTACTGTATTTTTTTATACAATTCAAAGGGGGTATTTCCCTTCTCCACTATGTAGGTGCAGCATCCTGTGTTTCTATGTGAAATGGTAAAATTTTGTCTTCAGTTCTTGGAATAACTTTCTTTACTCAAGGAAAGGTACTTAACTTCATGGCTATAAATTGGTTAATGTGATAGATATTTCTGTATTTATTATTTTTTCTCCTATAGTATTTGTTATAAGTGTAAATGCAAATTTACAAGAGATTTAGTAACTATGTGCTACTAAACTAGGAATATTTAATGGAAGCAGAACTCAGACTATCATATGTGTGAGATCAAATCCTGAGCCCTGTAAATCACTTAAATACTTTTCAATATTTTTACTCATTTTATCAGAAATATTACTTTTAATCCTTTTAAGAATATTAAAATAGCCTATTGAAATAACATAAAATATATACAATTTAAATATATGTCCACATATGTATTTTTCCATATATATTTTCCCCTGTGTGTTCAAATATATGATTATAGTTTTTTGTTTTGTTTTGTTTTGTTTTGTTTTGTTTTGTTTTTTTCTTTTTGGTTTTTCTCTGGTACCGGGAACCGAACTCATGACCTTGCGCTTGCCAGGCAGGCGCTTTGCCGCTGAGCTAAATCCCCAGCCCCTGTATGATTATAGTTTAAATACTAATATATTAAGCTAATGTGCAAGCACCGATTTGTCTCACTAGTGTAAAACCTGAAAAAGTGAATAAAAACTTGGAGATATGATAGACATTGTGAAATGAAAGGAAGATGCTCAAGGGTAAAGGCAACTGGGATGTGGGGAAAGAGAAGGGAAAGAAGAAGAAATTTTGTCTGTATGTATATACAGGATAGTTAACATAGTTGGACTACTGTCTTCTATTTCTTTGCTGAAAGAAACAGTTAATGATTCCTTGACTGATCAATATTGCAAGTCTCTATTTGTTTTCCTGAGAAACCACTTTGAAGATATCAATATGTAGTACAGCAAGCATTGTTAATTTCCTACCACTTTGTTTGTAACTCTGTATTGTTTGTGTTGTTGTTTTGCTATTTTGTAAATGGTTGTCTGTTTGTTAATGTTTTCCTTCTTTTACTTTTAAAATACAAAAATAACATATTAAATATTTATTTCACCTTATCTAGCCTTGAATTGTAGAAAAATAATACTGCTGAAGCTCTGTTGGTCCCTCTTCAATTATAGCTTCTTTTGTTTTGAAAGGATTTAGTATCTTGAGTATTTCCTATATTCCCTTACTCTTCTTTTTTTAATTAATTTTATTAGTACAATTTCGTGATACATAATAATCACATTCATCATAGGAAATTTGTACCTATAAACAATATATCTTGGTTCCTCTCTTTTCCCCCTCTCTTCCCCTCCCTTCAACCCCTATTCCCCTCCTTATTTACAAAGGCTTCATTTCCATTTTATTCTTCCATTTTCATTTTTTTCTTTTCTCTTCCTTCTTCCCTCATCCTTCCCTAATTAAAGTTCCCTTTTGAACCATTTCTTTTTTTTTTTTCTTTTTCTCCCGTACCGGGAACCAAACTCACAACCTTGCGCTTGCCAGGCAGGCACTTTGCCGCTGAGCTAAATCCCCAGCCCCTTTTGAACCATTTCTTCCAGTATCACAAAATCTATTATACATTTTGGTCCTCATTTACACTTTCAGTTTCTCATACTTGTGAGAAAAAGTGATATTTACACATATGTGTACAAGTTTTTTCACTTAAGAGTATGGTCTTAAGGTCCATCCTTTTAGCTATAAATGTCTCAGGTTTATCATGCTTTATGGCTGAACCTCACTGTATATGAAAAAAAACCACAACTTCTTTATCCATTCATTGATTGATGGGTATTTGGGTTGTCTTCAAGATTCAGCTATCGCAAACTATGCTGCTATAAACATACCTACACTTCCTAGGCAATGTCTATTCTTCATAGATGTCTGCTAGTTATAGCTGGCTCTTGGCCTTTATGTCTGCCCCAAGATCCTACCTTTTCAATTTATTAGGGATGAAACATTGCTATCTATTTGGCTCTGCACCCAGTCCTTTGGCACTAGACTATGGTGATAGTTATGACCCCAAACAATCACAATCAGAGTGTTGTCATGCAAGGGAGAACAACTGATTACAACAGATATGATATCCTGGATAGCATGGTATAATTAACAATAACAATAGAATCAAGCACAGCCTAGAAACTGACAAACTGTGGCTTAATAATGGCCTGTTCATTTTTAAAAAGCTAGACTGGTGTAAACATCTCTCTTCAGAATATGAGAGCTCCTATTACTTTAACTCTTAAATGACACTTCATATTGACAAAATTGGAAATGTTTTTGCAAAGTTAATGAAGGGCAAAGTTAATGAAGGGCATGTTCTCCTTTTACTTTCTATGTCCCTGACCATTAGTGAAGTAATGCATCCCAGTCTATATCTATCAGCTATTTGTGACACAGATGCCTGGCTGTTCATCCAAAATTCCTGGCCTGTGAAGTTGTCACTGGGCAGGTCCTGCTACTTTTTCTACCAATCAAGGTGTGTCTAGGTGACATGTGGCCTCCTGAATGTTTCTTCTCCAGGATTTTAGAGAAGCTCATGAATATCTCCGTCTATTGGATGGAGGCAGATTACCCTCCACTCTTAAAAACAATTGAGGTTGGTTCCTGATTAATATAGTCAAAAAACCTTTGGAAGACCCACATTGAACCATTACATGAACCGTTATTTCCTTTATTGACATGGTATTCATTCACATAATACACATAGTCATGTCTTTTTCTGCTTTTATATTTATTACATTGTACACAATGTTCACATAACTTGGAGATTTATTCTTTGGCCATAGCATATATTGCTAATGTTTTCCATTACTTGTTGCCATTTACTCCCCCATTGCATACACTAACTCTCTCCTACATACCAATGCCTTAGTTTTACTTGGCTTATTTTAATACACTTGTTATGATTGCTGTCTTGACTTTTAGGGGATTCTGTGACAAATTCAGTTTGAGAATGATAACTATTCTGATTTGTAGACAATGAGGAGGGACTTCACACCACAAAAAAGTACAGTCTTTAAAAAAGTGGATGCATATTTCTTGTCAGGGGAACATCTTGCATTTGCATAGAATAGAAAGACCTCAGTGAAAATCCCTCCCCAGTAATTGCTATGTACAAAACAGCACAAAGTTGAGTCCACCCTATAATCTTGCTTAAAGGATAGAGTTGCTACAAAAACATAAAGTACAGCAAGGTCCATGTGGTACTACAGTATTATAGTCCAAGTAAAGCCTTTCAAAACTCAGAGATATTAATACCAATTAAACACACACACACACACAGAAACATTTCTGATTAACAGATTATGCGTGAAGACATTGTCCAGAGTTAGAGTTAGGTCTGTGACTGGAAAATAAAGTTAATTCACTCCACAGAGTGAACTCCATTCCCCTGGCTTAATTTCTTTTAAAATTTCTATTTACATATGTTTGTGATACATACTAATTGCATTTGTTTGGGAGAATTTGTTATATATATTGAAAACATGTATATTCTTAACTATTTTATCCCTTCCCATCCCTCAATGTCCCTTGATCTTCTTCTCCATCTCTAAAATGTCTACTTCTCTATTTCATATCACCTTTATTTTATTCTTCAAATTATTTGTATTTGGGGTTTCTCACAAAACAGAAACTGCAATATTTAACCTTCTGCATCTGATTTATTTCACTTAACACTACAGTCATAAGATTCAACTTTTCTACAAAAGACTCAGGTTTACCCTTTTTATGGGTGAATAATGCTCCATTGTGTATATATACCACATTTTCTTCATCCATTTATCTGCTGAGGGACATCTGGGCTATTTCTATAATTCCAC